ACCAGAACACCTGAAGAACCTTCCGCCTGTCCTCGTAAACACACTAGCTCGGCTCTTCACACGTTAAGATAAGGTGGGCCGGAGACGTAATGTGTATGAATAACAAGCGATGGACAAGAACCGTTAGTGATCGTATTTCTCGGCATGTCAAGCGGACAGCAGGAAGACCACCGTCCCGATGGTCAGAGTTCTTGACAAGGAGCTTTGAAGAAAGATATGATGCTCAACGAGTCCCTAGAGCGAGTAGAACCCATTGGGCTACTCTTGCACGCGGCAGGGAAAAATGGAAGATTTACTGGCGCCCGCTCGCGTCGCTCAACGATCAGCGGGACTACAGATGACAGGTGATATGTGAAAGGTGAACGCACAGTTGGAAGTTCGTGTATGCGTGTATATCTGTATTCCTCTACATATATAAGTGTTCATGTATATGTATTTGTGCGTATGCGTGCGTATGTATGTGTGTATGTGTCTGTGTCTTTGTATGTTAGATATCCATGCACGTGTGTGTGTCGGTGGTGTGTATGTGCGTGTGTGTACACACGTGTGCATATACGTGTGTGACCTTGCGCATCTGTGTGCTGTATTGTAGACATCGAGTTGTCAAACGCTACATGGACAAATGGAACACGAAAATGATCGAAGATTAAATAATGTTTTACTTTTTACCTTCTGCTTCTATAATTTCTAAGGAAATTAGACGAAATACAACCACAAGATTGCTCAGATATTTGCAAAACTCCGGACCGCAGGTGTCTGCGTTTAATGCCGATGTGGGCTCTCCAGATCAATCCCGTTGACGGGTGATTGCTGACGGTACTGATCGATAGAACTAGCTGAGAGACAGGCGAAACGAAGGACCTGCATGGTGTGGTGGTGAACGCGTTACTCCCCTGAAAGGACAATAGCGCTCTCGTTCCCCACCGCAGACACCTGCGGTCCGAAGATTAAATACTTAAGAGGCCTGACGTGAGGAACAAGATGGAGAGATTGTTGTTGCTGTCCGTTCATATTATGGATACGGATGAGATAACGAGATTACACCTGAAAAAGGTGTTAGTGGGATTACAGACGACTCAGGTGTCAATCAAATGACCGTGTTGTCGGCGGTTGGTGATTCTTTTTTCAAGACTTATCTGTGTCTATTTAAAGATTACTTTTTGATTGCTTTTTTCATCCCTATTTGGCACTCGCTTGCTTTATACTGCTTTCCCATTCCATTTCCTTCGCCTCTTCTCTTTTTTTCACTGCTGCTTTTTAGTGTGTTTTTCATTTGTCCCTGGTCAATCTTTCTTCCATTCCTCTATCTCTCTACTACCCTCTTTTCCTACCGTAAATGCTCACTCTCCGAAGTGTTTTTTGTGCTGTCCTAAAGAACTTATGGCGAAAGGGAAATGCGCAACCTTGACTACGTTGTCAAATGCGCAAAATTATAGCCGCATTACTTAGTTTTCTGAGAAAATAAACAAACGCTAGATTCACAATGTTTACTTTTTATTTTCTGCTTTTTATTATTTTTATGTCAGGGTATTAAGCAAAATGCAACCACAAGACTGCTGAGATATTTGCAAAACTCTGGACCGCAGGTGTCTATGGTGGGGAACGAACGCGCTATTGTCCTTTCCGGGGAGTAACGCGTTCACCACCACACCATGCGGGTCCTCGGTTTTGCCTGTCACTCAGCTAGTTCTATCAATCTGTGCCGTCAGCAATCACCCGTCAACAGGGCTGATCTGGGGAGCCCACATCGGCATTGAACCCAATTAAACTGAGGCTGCAGTTGAATTCACAATGTTTACTTTTTATTTCCTGCCTTCTATTATTTTCATGCCAGGGTATTCAGCGAAATATTAATATTAAGGGTATTAAGCGAAATATTAATATTAAGCGAAATATTAATACTCTGCCATAAAAATAATAGGAGGCAAAAAATAAAAAGCAAACACTGTGAATTCAACTACAGCCTCAGCTTAACTGGGTTCAATGCCGATGTGGGCTCCCCAGATCAACTCCGTTGACGGGTGATTGCCGACGACACAGATCGATAGAACCTAGCTGAGAGGCAGGCAAAACCAAGGACCCGCATGGTGTGGTGGTGAACGCGTTACTCCCCGGAAAGGACAATAGCGCTCTCGTTCCCCACCGCAGACACCTGCGGTTCGTAGTTTTGCAAAAGACGCTAGATTTTTGACTTTTTTAAAATAACTTTTAAATTCTGAGTGGTCGTTTCTCTTGTACGGGGGCGGGGAAATTTATGGATATATGCGTCGTTCATTAATACGTACTAGGTTACTGACTCTATCCCACCATGACCCAATCAGGCTCGCACCTTCCCGAGGTGAAAAAATTAGTGCAAAACGTCTCTATGGAAAACTGCCTCTGAGAATATGGTAACCTAGCACGGCTATATCATGGTCTCCATATGGAGTCTGCTCAACCACCATTCACAGCTATTCATGAAGAAAACCTGATTCTCAAGTAACAGCCGGATTAAGGCGTAATTCTGAACAGCTTCGTGGATGATCGGTGTCAGGAAACAAATTCAAATCAAAGACGATCTGAAAATCGTGCAATAAGTGATGTTCGGTCATGTAAATAATAACGTAAATTAATATTGCATTTTCGTAACAATGGGACCCTTAATATCAGTTTTATGATAGCGAATTTATATCACAGTTGTACTGCAGAGTATGTACAAAATCACAATATGCGGAAAGGTACTTGGCATACATCATGACGAATGTTCTAACCTCCTACAGCCCCGTGCTTCTCTAACATCAAATAGTCAGAAATTTGAGGATACGAGAACCTTACAAAAGGATCTCACTCTATTGCATTTTTTTGTATACGTTTTTTTGTTTATATGACCTGTCTTCATGCTTACTATTCAGATCCCAGCACTTCTTACATTCGACTCTTTCCTCGCATCCAATGTCCACGAAGGTGAATGTCATAGAATGCTGGTCGAGCAATTCTCCCTGGAGTCCTAAGATAGTCAGGGTGGAGCGCCCCCAATTGGATTGTGGAGTGATTTTTTTTCTAAGTGTAGTACCAATTTACCCACACCGGAGGGATGAGAGGTTTGGTTGACCCGGGGCAGAATCGAACTAGCACCATGCTCGTGATGATGGACATCACTACCACTGTGCTATCCGTCCTCTTTTGCATACGCAATTTTTCAAATGTGATAGCGCGGTTTTAAATTAAAATTCGGTTTTAAGTGCTATGATATAACAAATTTGTAAAAATATACTATACGAATTAGTATTGATCAGATAGTATCCATCTTTTAAATGTTTTCGTCTCCTCATCCAAGGACCACCAAACCTTCTAACCTTGCGGACTTTGGACTGATTGGAGATGCTTCAGTAGGCCTCTTAAGCCATTACATAGGCGAGGCATGCATTAACTCATCTCAATGGTGCTACGAATGAAGTGGGATGCATAGAGCATACCAAAGTGTTCAACTCTTTATTCTTAGCCTCCGGAAAGGGTAACAACGGTTCGATTCCCATCGCAAATACCTGCCGTCTAGAATTTTGCAAATATCTCAGCATCATTGTGATTATATTTCACATCATACCCTGTCATGAAAAAGGAATATGCAGTGAATAAAAGTGACTGCTTTATTCTTACTTCAAACATATTTGTTTTAAAATTTATATTCCTGTTTAAGAAACACGAGGTGGTATTTTATTTCTTTATTTACGCACAAGCCGACGTTGCGGCGGCTTTCGCCTTCCTTAGAGCCTGGAAAGGTCTTGTTGTCAGCAGTTTACTTGGCCAAACACCTCCATAACCAAACACGGAAAATGCTAAACCAAATTTCAATCACATTGAACACAGAATGGCTTCCTTGCACACTCGCCGCTTTCTATGAGTCCACTTAGTATGTCGCGTGGAGACCAACCGCGCAGAGTTCGCATGGATTTGTGATGTGCCCATCTCATCAGAATAATAGGCTTATATACTGCCCAATATCATGCGTGATAATGAGGCATTCACCCCTGCAGTTCATTTTCGGATTCTTGGAATTAATCCAGAATGCCTCCAGAGTTTTGCGCGCTTGTGTTCTCGATTCTTGCGCGAGGATCGTAACCTCTTACTTCAAAATCTTCTCCGTTATGTCTCTGTGTCCTATGCGTGCCTAGTGGAGCATTTGGTTTAAATTTACCGACTAGGTGTTCTTTTATACGCACGCAGAGTGGTCTACCCGTTTCGCCAAGGTATCCGTCTCCGCACGCTTTGCAATAGATCAGATAGACTGTGCCCAAACTCATGCAATCACCGTCTCTACCATTAGGGCAAATTATGCTATTTTGCGTGGCACATAGACGGTGATATGGGCGGCTACGGGCTAGTTGGCGTCTTTGATTACTCGGTGGCATTTCAATTAACATTGCCGAATTCTCTAGACCGGCCCTTCTTAAACAGCGTTTTGTAGCTGCACCTACTTTATTTGAAATGAAGGGCAAGGTAAACGGGACTTTATTGCCGCTAGAGTTATCGTTTGGGGCCTGCGGTTTTTTTGCACCTCTTCCGAGCTGCAGTTTCGTAGCCATTAAAAATGGCTATTTGCCTGGCCAAGTTCCGAGAGTCCTCCCTCTGCTTTCTTCCTGTACATACGCTCGTTGCTGTTCGAAACATGTTTCTCACAGGCGTCTTTTTCGTGTGAGGACGCTGAGAGGAGGGGTAATGAACCAAGATGTTTTTACTACTTGGCTGTTTGTACCACTTCGTAATGTAGCCATTTTCTAATAGGCTATTGTTTTTAGTTTGTTCTTTCTTCGTGTTCTTTTTCTTTTCTTTGGCGGGGGTTTGAGGTGTTAATCAGTTTTGTCGGAGCCTAGTATCAGATTTGTTTTGGTAGTCGTAAAATTCTTCTGTGCAATCACAATGTCTAATTTTCCTCTTGTTTCCCGATTTTCATCTTTCCACTTTCCTGTTTACTTTTCACGTTTATTTATTTTCTCCACCACCTGCAGAATTTGTTGCAGGTGATGAAGATCGCTGTGATTGGTCAGTCAGCTTTTGGCGTCGACGTCTATAAGGCACTTCGTAAGAATGGGCATAAAATTGTCGTTGTGTTCACCATTCCTGACAAAAATGGTCGAGAGGACTTACTTGGTGGGTATATTGACTTTGGAAACGTCATTCTATATGCAGTTGTATTCTTACACTTACAACGACAAGAGTGAACTCGGAAAACGCATTACTTAGTAGTACTGTGCAATAATACGTGTTACGTTCCATCCCGCTCTGAGCTAACCAAGCCTGCCATCCGTATGGGATCGTAAAAACAATATCAGACTTCAACGTTGCTGAGATATTTGCAAAACTCTGGACCGCAGGTGTCTATGGTGGGGAACGAACGCGCTATTGTCCTTTCCGGGGAGTAACGCGTTCACCACCACACCATGCG